GGTCCCATACTATATGAACTGGACTTTTTTACATGAATGTAAGCAAAGTCAGGGTTAGATCCTCTAATCAACCAAGTAGAGGATTTATGGAGCAAAAATTTACAAAGCTTTTTTTCGCCCCCCCAAACTGAAACACTTGCCTTCTTCCTCTTCTTGTGCTCAGGATTCTGCATCAAGGTGGTTACACAAAAGAGGAACAGCTCGAATTCAGAGCGATCATCTATGGCAACATCCTGCAGTCTGCTCTGGCTATCATCAGAGGCATGGAGATGCTGGGCGTTGATTTCAGCGGAGCCTCTGCACAGGTCTCCATTTAAAAAAATGAACGACAGACGTGTTATATGCTATGAAATCATACATTAATCATATTCATCCTATAAATAGTTCTATTACTGGAACTGGCTTTGTCTGTACTGATGGATTTGTGTTTGCCTCCGACCACAGGAAGATGCACAGAAGCTGCAGAACTTGTCAGACTCCATCGAGGAAGGCACAATGCCCTCTGAGCTGGGTGACGTCATCAAGAAGCTGTGGAAAGACTCTGGTGTGCAGGCCGGCTTCGAGAGAGCTGCTGAGTACCAACTCAACGACTCCGCTGGCTAGTGAGTCCATGCTTACTACTGGAGCCGGTGCATTAGTGGGGGTTACATGTCAAACTAAAGCATCAGCTCAGTGATTAAAGATGGTTCTCATATCTGACCCCTGATTGACTTCTGTGTTCTGCCCTCACCAGCTACCTCAACGAATTGGACAGAATCTGCAAGCCAGACTACCTCCCCACTGAGCAGGATGTGCTGCGATCTCGAGTCAAAACAACTGGTATCATCGAGGAACAGTTCTCCTGCAAAGAGTTGCACTTCAGGTAGGGAACAAGGTCTGACACGAGCAAAAACTTTACAGAACTGTGACATCCAGGAGACTGAGTGTGTCGTGACTCTCTGTGGTGGACAGGATGTTCGATGTGGGTGGCCAGAGGTCAGAGAGAAAGAAGTGGATCCATTGTTTCGAGGGTGTGACCTGCATCATTTTTTGCGGAGCTCTCAGTGCATACGACATGGTGCTCGTAGAGGACGACGAAGTGGTGAGTTGGAGACCCGACAAACACATTGTGACATATTTAATCAAGACTCGTCAACTGGGAGCTCACCCTGTTCCTCTCTGACCTTACAGAACCGCATGCACGAGTCCCTCCATCTATTCAACAGTATCTGCAACCACAGGTTCTTCGCACTGACCTCCATCGTGCTTTTCCTCAACAAGAAGGATCTGTTCGAAGATAAGATCAAGAAAGTCCATCTGAGTATCTGCTTCCCAGACTATGATGGTGAGACCGACTGATTTAAATGCTCTGGAGTTATTTAGGCTGAATTCAGGGAACAAGATCAGATCAATCAGACATGAAATTAGTCTATAACTGAATGAGTCATTGATTATAGCAGCATGTGTGCAAACAATCTATGTGGTAAATGACATAATACAGACAAAAAACAACACAGTACAAAACTGTCCAGACAAACATTTCTTTTCGCAACTAAATCCATGAAACCTTTCTTCTCATCCTCACATTCCTTGATTTCTGTTAGGCCCCAACACGTACGATGACGCCAGCAACTACATCAAGTCACAGTTCTTGGAGCTGAACATGAAGAAAGGTGTGAAAGAAATCTACTCCCACTTGACCTGTGCCACAGACACAAAGAACGTCGAGATTGTGTTCAACGCTGTGACAGACATCATCATCAAAGAAAACCTCAAAGATTGCGGTCTCTTCTAAAATAAGCAGCTCCGGAGTGAAAAGAGGTGAGCGGTGACCACAGCACGTGCACTCCCAGGGACTCTGTTGATATAGAGTAATAGGGTGCAGATGAGACAGACCCCCAGCAATTCAATTTAACACAGCAAATCATATCTGGCCAAACCTGCGTTGCCATGCAACAACTTCTAACTGAAACACAAACTATTTAGAGCCTTTTGGGACTGATGAGGATAAGGACGATAATGAGAAACATTTTCCCATAAAGCTGCAGAATAAGATAACTTGACATGTTAGAAAATACACTGAACCTGCTAAATCTGGTTTAACCCCAGAGCCATGAATATGATAGAAAATGTTTTACATGGTCTTAATTCATGCAATTAAAGATAATTTAATTTAATTTTTTCTTTTTAAATATGCAGCACATTTTTAGAAATATATTAAACCTGCAACCTGCTAATTATTGGAGCCACAAATGTAGCAAATTGTAACATATATAATAATTTATGCACAATATAATATGCTTTCCCAATATCTGACCTTGATTTCTTCTTTTTCCATATGCTGCAGAACTTCCTTTCCTACCTTAACCCCTCAAATATTGGCATTAACTGAGAAGTGTACTGATGGAGCATAGAGGATCCTCTGTTTGTTGAGTTCATGCCATCGCTTCCAAGACAAGTCCCAGTCCTGCATGATCCTTGACTGCTCCCAGCACCTCACCACATCTAACAGTACCTCCCTGAAACACAGTGCACGTCCAGCTGGGTTGAAACAACCATGAAGTCACTATCACTATCTTCATTGTGGACATACAGCTTTCTACAGGATTCTTCAGTTTTTTCCAAAGTACAGTATTTATCAAACACCAGAAGCTGCTGGTTTGAAGGTACGAAGATGAAATAGTTGCTTGTTCGATCCTCATTGCTTCCTTTGACTACTGTGTTGTGAGTTATATTTAATATTTAAAAACCCAAGCTCTGTAAAATTAATAAAACAATAAAAAACTGGGGAAAATATTAAGATTGTGAATAGCAACATGGCAACCTTGTTTTTGAGTACACTAGTGTCTGTGGTCTTGATATTTAAACTGTGAAAAGTCGCTGAGCGAATATCTCCACTAACGATATTCCCACCACTTGCAGTGTATCCAGATTACAAAACCCAATTGTACATGTATCTAATTTAAATAGTGTTAATGTATTCGATTCATTTAACATTTTAATGTGATGATTTACTATGAGAAGGTCAAACATGGTAGAGAAACTTTGTACATAAGAGTAGATAATGCATTTTATTTTGAAAGATAAATATATGAGAGCAAGAGGGAAACACTAGGGGTGACGCTTTATTGTGAAAAGGGAATGAAAATCTACTGAGTTTGTCCTTTCTTATGAAAAGTAGGAGCATGAAATAAAGATGCATCAACTTCACCTGTGTGTGTCTGTGTGTGTCTGTGTTGCAGGATCACACTGTCACTCCCTAAATGATGTATATCAAATTAGAGAAACAGGGCTGTCAACAATGACAGATCCCCCCCCGGGCTCTTACATGAGGGGGATAATGCTGCTGTTATGTGAGTTCCCTGTTTCCCATCAGAGGGAGAATGGCAGCTAATTCAAGTTCATTAACAATAAACCTATTGAGGGAGCTAAACAAATTAAAGCAGCAATTAATCTGCATGTGGAGAATTACTGTAAAATTGTGCAGGGACTGTTCATCATGCGTGTGTGGAGCTGACAAGACCAAGTGTATGGCTGGATGTGAGTGAGCACTTTGAGTCCCATCTTTAAAGATGCATGTTGTCAGTGTTAGCATGCTCCAGACGAAATACAGCAAACCCGGGTGTGCAGTGTTTGGCATCCGCATCAAGATGGTTCCTGCTTTGACTGTGACCTCTCTGTGTTGAGTTTGCACGTTCTCCATGTGTCTGCGTATGTTTTCTCTGAGCACTCTGGCTTCCTCACTGTCCAAATGTGATTGTGAAAGGTTGCCTGACTCTGAGTTGGCCCTGCGACACACCAGCAACCAGTCAAGGGTGTTCTCCGCCTCACGTCCAATATCAGCTGGGATTGGCACCAGCTAACCCTCAAAGGATAAGTGGTATAGATAATGGATGGATCATTAAATATGTCCTTGGTGAGTCAAAATCAGTCAAAAGTTTGCTAAAAACAGAAGGTGAAATCTCCCGGCTGATTTTCAAGGATAAGCCTCATTAGTCAAAATTTTTATATATGACAATAAATACCACAAAAAGAGCAAAATCAACAATACAGTTGAAGCCGTCTAGTTAAGTCCTCTGTGGCACGAAAAGATTAGAAACATATTTGGATCCACACTTCCCCACCTGGTCATTTGTTCCAGTCAACATGATCACCGTAGCTTCTTTTGACTCGATCCCAGAGACATTGCTCCGCTGCTTTAAATACTCACTGGAGCTGAAAACAAACCAAACACACTCTTTAATCCAGTCTGAGTAACAGTTCATAATAACTACACAGCTCCTGGCTGTTTCTGAAAAATATTCTGCCTCTTTCGAAAAGAAAACTTTGCATGAGTGAGCTGCTTTTAGAGATTCATGTCTTCATTAGGAACTAATGTATTAGACGCTCCCGAACGCAGCCTGGAGGAGCCTGGGATTGAACCACCAGCCTTCTGGTTACTGGATGACATTTTTAACCCACAGACGCCCTGTACAAAATATGTATTTAGTAATAGTTAGGCGTGTGTATTTCCCCTTTTGTTGGAACTTAAAGGTACAGTGTGTAGAATGTTGTGATATCTAGTGTTGAAATTGCATGTTGCCTCACCCTCTGCTTCCAAACATGAAAAAGAAACTGTGGTAGCCTTAAATTGTCATAAAAACTCAAAAGGTTTTAGTTGGTCCAGTCTGGACTAATGTAAAAAACATGGCGGCTTCCGTAGAGAGGGTCCCCTCAAGGTAAATATAAAGTATTTGAATATAAAGGGCCTTTTCTGGGGTAAAGAAAACTAGAATTTATTCAATTTAGATGAAACGAACTAGGGAAAACATCATGAGAATTATTCTACATTACATTTCTGCCAATAGTTCCCTTTCACCTAAATCTTACACACTGAACCTTTAACCGGAGAAAAGAGAAACTATTGTGCGACACACAGTCAGTTTTGGTCCTTTCATGGAATTCATATGGAAAAATACACAGCATCACCTGTGATACCCTTTCAACTTAACTCAAAGATAAGAATCTGTCCCTGCATGTTCTCATATGGATTAAAAACAGTATGAATTTATTTTTTCATCACTCATGTCATTAATAAACTTAGAAGTAGCTTTATACTCCTTTACAGAGGTTGCATACAGGGTAAAGACAACAGGGGGATATTGATGAGCAGTGAATCCAGATGTGTCTGAAATGTATCTGTGTGCATAGAAATCTTCACAGTGGAAAACATGTGATCGGTGTTACTGTGGTACCATTTTGGAATTAACTAACAGAAGTACAGGTGAGAAAACTTTGTGCCATCATTTAATGACGTCAAAATAAACCAATACAACTGCACAAGTGAGATAAATATTTAAATTCTTAATCTTGCGAGAGTTGGTCGCCAGGTCGTCTCTGTGCAGGAACACACTGACCTGACAGAAAGAATCATCTACTGCAGCATTTCAGAACACGTCAGCAGCACATCCTCAGTGGTATGTGAGGGCCACAGCCATAGAGCACAAATACAGCCTCTGTCCATGTGACACTATCCCGGTCTTGTTGTTGTAGGTGTTGATATGGCTTTGCTTATATCCACAGGATTAAAATATCACCTTTATGAAATTCTACATTGACCTTCAGCAAGTGAATATTATATATATTTAAACTGCTTTGGAAAAAAAAGGTCTCCCTTTACAAATTGATTTGCAGTGATGAGTCTCAAGTACAAAAAATATGGATAAATACAATGTGGTCTAGTTAAAATTAAAATAACTTTGCAGACAGCATTGTTGCTAGTGAGTTCATGAAACTTATGCTTACTAATCCAAAACCCAAAATGATTTGTTATATACATGAAATCTTCCCACACAAAACTCCTTCTCATACATAAGTTATGGCATTCACACGTCCAAAGGTGGAAACACTATATAACTGTAAATCTAAATTAAAATGAAATAAAATGAAAATATTGAATAAAGCAAGGTGAGATTGACTTACAGCGAAAGGAAGATGCAACACAATCAAAAGCGAGTGGAATTTACATTTCAGCTGTGAAGCTGTGTGATGCAGTAATACATTTGAGAAAATCCGTTTTGGTCCATGTGCCGGTGACAGACAGAATATGAATGTGTCAGAGACGTCAGAGGGGCTTTACCTGCCAGCCCGTCCACTGTTCAATTTCACAAATCTCCCCCACTTACCACTTCCTCCCAGTATGTTCTGCTTTTAAAATACTTTAAGACAAAAGTGATGATGGTAGCAAGTCCCCAGATTGTGGAATTTATGTCCTGCATGCTGCATGGCCACAAACTCAGTCCTTAGAAACACCTACTTTCCTATTTGCTCTCTGCAAACAAAACATACCAGCCCAGACGTCCTGGTGATCCCCCCCAACATCTGCAGGGAAAAATAAAAATAATCAGCAATATGGTGATTCAAGTGTTCATTCATATGTGGCTTCAACATCTAGTTGCATTTACTTAATTAAATGTATCAGTTCATAAATAAACCTTTAGAAGTCCTGGGCTTTTCACACATGTCATCCTGTTTCTCAACACAAAACAAAAAGATTCATACTTCTAAAATATGTATTTTTTTAACATCCAATTTATAAAATCTGTTTTTACTTGGCCTATCAACTTCAGACAAAAACTACCAAAGAGTTTCACGTCAGCACTTTCAACTGAACTTAAAACCAGTGCTCCGTGTCTCTCTGTCTTTTCATTGTGACATCTTGAACCAGATATGGGATCTGATCACGTTGCATGGCATACAAATTCAAAAAATTAATAAAATAGATCCAATAACACTAAAACAATCCATTCAACTAATTTAATTGAAACTATATCCCATTTGTATTTGGCTTCATTTCATCATCTCGGGATGATTTTGTAGCTGGTTGATCGAACCCTTCGCAGAGCATTCAGTCATATCAAACAGCAAATTTCTATGCAATTGATTAAATAGTCATGGAGCTTCACTCTGGACAAATGTGATGATAATCTGCATAAGCTTCAGGGTAATTAAAATGGACCATATCATGATATTAACTATATTGTTAATATATACATATATCAATAATATATGTGAATTTGAGGATTCGGCTCCAAACAAAAAAAACTGTGGTTGTGTAGATGTGTTCAAATCACATCAGGTCTAATGAATCAAATGTTTTATTTTGTCTGTTGCTGCAATTAACAATCAGTATTCTTCAGTACTTTATCATATAATCACAGCTATTCCAAAATTACCCAACAATATCATGATATTAGTTTAAGGTATAATGTCTCCCGCTCACTGTGGACCACAGGGAATCATTTCATATACTTCACTTTATGTTTCGAACCAAATTTCTCCTGCACTGTGCATAAAGAGTCTGTGTGCTGACCTGCAGGGCCTGATGCTTTAGTAGAGCCCGATCTCCCTCAGGTTAATCTTGATGATGACATCAGTGACGGCGTCAAACACAAACTGCACATTCTTGGTGTCCGTGGCACAAGTGAAGTGGGAGTAGATCTCCTTGGTGTCCTTTCTTTTATTTAAGTCTTCAAACTGGCACTGGATATAAGCTGCTGTCTCTTCATATGCGTTCCCACCTTTATTAAAGAAATCTCAGTTATTAAAAAGATATTGGTCATAATTTATTTGGAAGCTTGAAATGACACAGTTGTATTTCTCCACCAACCAGTGCAGTTTTTGTCAACATTTGTTTTCCAGAATCATACATGGTCACTGTGACCTTTACCTTTAACCACTAAAATCTAATCAGCTAATACAGTCTAGTGAACATGTGACAAATTTGAAAGATCCTGCGATGTTACATTCATAAGGAAAAACATGTGTCCACCAAACTCTAATCAGTTCATCCTTGGGTCCATATGAATGTTTGCACAAAATTTTAAGAAATTCCGTCAAGGCCTTCCTGAGATATCGTGTCCACGACAGACAGACTGATGGATGGACAACTCAAACATAATGTCTGCGGCCACTGTCTGTTGTCTGCACGGAGGCACAACATTCCTCTGGACAAAGAATATTTTCTGTTTACTTCCAGTGAAACACAAGTGTTGACAATAGTTGCTATTATTCATTTGAGCAGATTATTGTTTATTCTTCTGTGGGACACGTGGCGCTTCAGGCTCATGTTTTGATCAGAAGTGGAAAAAGAAAACTGTTAGCAATACATTTAAAATAGAAACAGAGGCGCCTGGAATTACTGACGACCTTTCAAGAGCCTTTTTTTTCTTTGATAATTTGTTGAAGTATGACTGCGTCTATTGTGTACAGCGATGTTTACTGACATGTTGAAGTCAATGAGACGAGACTCTCTGTTCAGCTGTTTAGCAGATTGATGAAGATAAAACCGTCAGCATTCATCATGGACATTAGTGCAGTCTGGGTTAAATAAACCGACAAATCTAAAAGAGCAGAAACAGTAAATAATTGTTAATCTGAGAGTGATGGTATGTCAGCATGAATCTTCAAATCTTCAAACTCTACTTAATTCGATTGGCTGCATGGTGGATCAGTTCAGATGTGATAAAACAGAAAAGGGGAAACACAGTCAGCGTCCAACTGGTAAAACACACACACATAACGAAGAGAGGTTAAATTCAAAGCTCCTTTAGAAAATATATAAGTTTTACTACACAAACTAAATCAGATATGTAAAATCAATCAAGAGCATGAATACACAGATAAGAGCTCAGATACATTTGATGGATAAATAAATATTTCCTCCAGTACCAGCAGTTGAGGAGTGACGACACAATAAAAATATAAATGCAGGCGTTGGTGGTCTCACCAGAGAACTCAGGGTAGCAGATAGTGAGCGGACTCCTGCTGATCTTCTCCTCAAACAAGTCCTTCTTGTTGAGGAAGAGGATGATGGAGGTAAGCGTGAACCACTTGTTGTTGCAGATGGAGTCAAAAAGCTTCATGCTCTCATGCATCCGGTTCTGAGGAAAGAGCAGTGTGGGGCCATGTGAAAATCACAAGTGAAATGAATGTATCAATATAATTACTGAATTCCAGATAGATAGATAGATAAAACTATATGATCTTGATTTTTTTTAAAAACTGGGATGATTGATGATGACTGTAATTTGGTCTAAGAAAAATCTGGATCTAGTCAGTTTCAATGTGGTTTCATCAGGGGCCTTGGCGGGGGTTTGTGCTCTGCTCAGTGAAATACGAGTTCTTTTTATTTGTAAAATGCTGTTGAACTTCTAATAGGAAACATAAAATCCAGCAGCAACTATTTGTGTTATATGAAGCAAAAAACCACAGTGTATCATCATCGTCGTTTACCATCTCCTCATCCTCAGCCAAAACGAGGTCGTAGTCACTGAGTGCGACACAGAAAATGATGGCAGTTACTCCCTCAAAGCAGTGGATCCACTTCTTCCTCTCTGAGCGCTGACCCCCAACATCGAACATCCTGAAGACACACACACACACACACACACACACACACACACACACACACAC